TTGAAAACTGTTATCGTGTTCCCTCTCAGTCTTCTGTTCTCCAGACTAAACAAACCCAATTTTTTCAATCTTCTCTCATAGGTCATGTTTTCTAGACCTTTAATCATTTTTGTTGCTCTTCTCTGGACTTTCTGCAATTTATCCATATCTTTCCTGAAATGTGGCGGCGCCCAGACCTGGACCCAATACTCCAGCTGAGGCCTAATCAGTGTGGAGTGAGCAGAAGAATTACTTCTTGTGTCTTGCTTACAATATTCCTGCTAATACATCCCAGAAGGATGTTTGCTTTTTTTGCGACAGCGTTACACTGTTGACTCATATTTAGCTTGTGATCCACTATGACCCCCAAATCCCTTTCCGCAGTACTCCTTCCTGGCACTCATTTCCCATTTTCTATGTGTGCAACTGATTGTTCCTTCCTAAGTGGAGTACTTTGCATTTGTTCTTATTGAATGTCATCCTATTTACTTCAGACCATTTCTCCAGTTTGTCCAGATCATTTTGAATTTTAATCCTGTCTTCCAAAGCACTTGCAACTCCTCCCAGCTTGGTATTATCCGCAAACTTTATAAGTGTACTCTCTATGCCATTATCTAAATCATTGATGAAGATATTGAACAGAACCGGGCCCAGAACAGATCCCTGTGGGACCCCACTCATTATGTCCTTCCAGCATGACTGTGAACCACTGATAATTACTCTTTGAGAACGATTTTCCAACCAGTTATGCATCCAACTTGTAGTAGCTCCATCTAGGTTGTATTTTCCTAGTTTATGAGAAGGTCATGCGAGAGAGTATCAAAAACCTTACTAAAGTCAAGATATACCACATCTACTGCTTCCCCCCATCTCAAGGCTTGTTACCCTGTCAAAGAAAGCTGTCAGGCTGGTTTGACACGATTTGTTCTTGACAAGTCCATAATAAGGTTATTTATCACCTTATTATCTTCTAGGTGTTTGCAAATTGATTGCTTAATTATTTGCTCCATTATCTTTCCGGGTACAGAAGTTAAGCTGACTAGTCTGTAATTCCCTAGGTTGTCCTTATTTCCCTTTTTATAGATGGGCACAAAATTTGCCCTTTTCCAGTTTTCTGGAATGTCTCCCGTCTTCCATGACTTTTCAAAGATAATTGCTGATATCTCAGATAGGATGCATTTCATCAGGCCCTGGTGATTTGAAGACATCTTAGTGAAGTGACTTGTGTAGTGTTTGTCTTAGCTGTAATTAGTACATGGATTTACTCCTTTTTGAATGAGAAGAACAGCTGGATCTTTTTTTCTTAAGGAAATAACATGCTATTAGAGGTAAGAGATGCATCTCCAATATAATCTTCAGGAAATAATATTTTCTTCCTGGGCAGCAAAATTCATGCTAAAATATTTGCACTTGAAAAGCAAGAGGAAAATAAAGTAAGGAACCTAAGGCTCTCCAGCTTTTCTTGGAGCTTGTGGAGGGGTGTGATTTTTTTTTTTTAAATTGCAGTTCAACTACCTCATTTATCCAATTCAGTTCTGCAATATTTTCCACTTCCTTTAGCTGAAAATCATTAATATTAATCCTCAGCTCAATTTACTGTATACCCAAAAATTCAATGTGAATGAAAGAATCTGGATCTCCATAACTCACACATCCTTCCCAGTCTGCATATGAGATGGGTGGGATTTTTTTATGCCACCTTTCAGTTTATTTTTGTTAGAGGCACTAATTCCTAAAAAAAAAAAAAAAAAAAAGTGACTTTAGGGCTAATAAATGGTACCAGATCAAAAGCACTACAGGCTGGCATTCTATGTTTATCCACATATAGGTATGCACATCGGCGATGCAAGCTTCTATCTTCTCCTCAACCCTTATTGAGATGGACAGTTTCTAGGGGTGAGTTCATTTCCCATGCTCAGTCAGTCTTCTTGGTCTCTTTGTCGAGACTGCCAACAAAGATGCTAATTGTGATAAGAATACCTGTGTACTAGAAGTTACGTTAAGTTACTCATTTCTCATAACTCTTTTCTCCAAGGATCTCAAAGCACTTAATCATGTTTTTATCAATGGCATGATTTTATAGATGAGGGAGCAGAGGCAAACATCTTGTGAGTTGCCTAAAGTGGAAATGCAAAATTGGGAATAGACTTCCAGTCCCTGTTGTGGTCCCTAGGCAACTTCATCGCTTAAACAACCCTTACATAGTAACAATTTCAGTTACTTCTAACCTGGACTGGATTGACCTAGAAATGATAGACTCTGTACCCTGTTACCCTTCTGCTGAGTTACTTATATCAAGGAAACATAAAGTTGAGACCTCTGAGTTGCCATTATTTGTGCTGCTTAAATTCCTTGGCCTAGCAGGTGCGGTATAACAACATGGCTGTTAATTTCCTCCATGATACTGTTTTGTGACTGAGGCATTAGACTAGGAGACCCAAGATTGATTTCCCAGCTCTTACTGAGTTTGCGTGATTTGAGCCAGATTGCTTAATCTCCCTGTGCCTCAGATCCTCATCTCTAAAACAGGAAAAATAACTTATTTTCTCTGGGTAAATTCTTATATCTGTGACTATCAGATGGTCTCATAAAGCTGTTGCAAAGAAGTAGTCCCATATTACTATCTGTATTATATAAAGTCAGTGCTACTTATCAGATGTCAGAATGATAGTGATACCACTTAATGGTATTAATCGTTAAAAAAATGTTTTTTAAGTCAAAGTGTAGTTTGGAGTTCTGCCAATTTTGCTTATTTTTGGAGCAGAGCAATAGACTTCTGTAATTATTTTAATATTCTGAAACTTTCCCTACTTTTCTTTACTTATATTCGCATCCCTAAGAAGCAACCACTGGAAGGACAGGAGGAGGCTAGGAGGGGACATATAGTATTCCCTTGAAGTTTTTGACTATCCCACTGATATCCACTTCAGACTGGTTTCAGGAATCTTGTATTTTCACTTCTGGTCTCCCCACATCACCTCCTTCAAATAATTTTGAAGCTGCACCTCTGCCAGGAAAGGGTACCTTTCTGATTCTTCAAATAGCCAACAATATTGAGACGTGTAGCTGGGAATGTATGCCGACGTTCATACCAACATTATCCGGTAGATGGCACCAACACACAGTTAAAATTAAAGGAAAACATTCCCTGAACCTTACTATGTAAGATAGGTCATTTTAGAAGCAGTATTTTCATAAGGGGCTGTTCAGTACACAGAGTCCAGTGTGCAGACTGTTTTGTTTAGGACTCCAGTTGGCAGTGCCAGTTAAAGTCCAAAGATTCTAACTTTGGAGCTGCTGCCTGAAGATTGTCTGTACTGAGATCAATAACTCCTCACCCCCCTTTCCCATTGTCTGTCCTGGGTAATAGTATTTAAGGTTGACTGGTGTTGGCAAACTCTGGAAAAACCATTTGGGTTGTACATTCAGAATGCACAAGAACCTGAATTAATTTGAAAATATTTCTTCTTTCAAAATTTCCAATGAAAATCCACCAAATGTAATTTAAAATGATAATCTAAATATTAATTGAATAAAAATAAACCTAAAATACTCTCCCTTTCATCCAGCCCCTCAAATAACCAACAAGAAGCAAATGTAACTAATCAGCTCATCAATCCACTCACTACAGGAGCATGTCTCCTGCCTCCAAAGCATTTCTACTTTCCCATGGGTTCACAGATGTCTTCCCTTTATACCATATCTACTCCTGCCCATTATGGGCTTTTGTCATTTTTTGTTGTATTCTTTCTCTGACTTATGGCTTGATCCTGGCAGGTGCCAAGCACATCAGCTTATGAGAGGCCATCAGCCCTTAGCTCCTACTGATGTTAATGGAAGTTGAGGGAGTTCAGGATCAAACCAGTTCATTTTAAGTTCCAAGGAGCATGAGTAGGGATTTCTTTTTCTTGTGGAGTTCCATGTGCAGCTATGGTTTTACATCAATATGTATTAATAAAAGTAATGGTATTCATCTAAAGCTAAATATGGCTGGTATTTCTATTAGTGTTTACTGTTTTTCTTTGCCTTTTAATTCCACAGGCCTTGAAATGCTATTTGATTCAGGGATTTTGTTTTTAAAATAAGAACTGGTCGCCTGTGGTATTTCCACCATCTTGGATTTGAAATACCATGGGAACACTAGATCTGTGTTTCTGCTGTGTAAATGAATCCCTAAGGCAATAGAAAATCTTCTGAAAAATGTAAATGCAAATATTTGAAATACAATTATTAGACCCTGCCTCCCCCTAAAAGCAACATGCAACTTTTTATTGAAATGATTTTTTTCTTTTTAAATGCAATTTTTCTTTAGCAATATACCAGAAAATAGAGTGTGGTCATTGGAGGTTTTTGGGGCAAGAAAACCTGCGATTTAAGTTTTAAAAATGTTTCCTAAGCACACCCAGAAGTTACAAGAGCCAGACTGAATTTGCAAATGGATGAAGTTCCATTATAATTGCAGTACTTCAATAACAAATTTTATGCTGACTATGTGGCTCAGGATTTGAGATGGTGGGATGCCCCCATGGAAATATTGATACCTCCAAACTTGGATGTACTTGACTGACCCTGGGGAGAAGCCCACTTAGAAAACAAATATTTAGATCCTATGATGAGGTCCATTGAAATGCCTACAAATAAAAGAAAATGGAGATATTTGGCAATAGCCCTTTCACTTTACAGTATCAACAATGGTGTATCTCTTGCTATCATTCCGAGAGAGAGAGATGTGACTGCACATATTACATTGGACGTTCTAAGGGCCAATCCTGCTCTTATTGAAGATCATGCCAGTTTTTTCAAATGCTTCTAGAGAGAGTGGGCTTAGACCCTAGCACTTCTGGGAATTGCACCACAGTAGGACAGTGAATGGGCATTGCACATAGATAAATACTGGGTACTGAAATACCTGCACATCCTTAGCTCAGGATTAGAAGAAACAATCACTTGTGACATGTCTGTATACACCCCACAAGAAGTCTGTGCCAGACAGAGCTAGGAATACAACACAGATCTCAGACCTAGTCCTGTTCCTTACATCTAAGACCACCTTTGTTTTCCCTGATGAAATCTGTTTTGGTAGACTCAGCAGCTAGGTCAATGCGTTCCACTTTCCCAGCATCATTATGTGTTAGTTTATAAGCTCGTCTGAGCCGGGGCAGTACCTTTAATGTGTAAAGCTTACATGCTGCAAACATTAAAGTGTTTGTAAAGGTTCTAGTGCAATTGGGCCATGATCATAAGTAAGGCCTCTTGGGGACTAGTGCAATACAAATACCCATCACCATCGTATTGGTCACTGAATTGGCCAGGAGACTGAACTATCCTCTTGGTTATAGTGATGGTTCTTCCAGAGCAAAGTTGAAGCACATTATTAGATATGGGGAAATCTCTCACTGCCACTACAGGACAGAGGCTTTCTCCAGGGCTGTTGAGCCAGCATATTTTCCCAGCTCTAAATGAAATTCATTTTAAACATTACTTGTCATACCAAAGCTGACAGTTTAAAGACACCATCATGAAGAGAGCTGCCTCTCACGGTTCCATTAAATAACCCAAACCTTGTATTTATTTTATGGATTTATTCCTATTGAGCCATGTAATCTTCTGCACAATAGTGTTATTGTAATAGCATCCAAAATGTGCTATGTGCTGTGCAGACATGAGTAAATATGGTACCTGCCCCGAGGAGTTTATAAGCTAGCAATTGTTAGACTGCATGTGAAATTTTGTCTTCCAAGGGGAGTTGCTAAAATCCTCAGTCAATCAAATGATCTGATTGTTTTGGACAGACGTTGCTGGATGAATTGTAATCAATGAGATAAAGTCACAGCTTTCCATGGGGGGGAAAATGTGGTGTTGAAAAGGAGGCAAGTGTGAGACATAGAGCATATTAGTATTGTAACACTCACAGCACCTGGGCATTGATAGGGATAGTCTATTTTTTTCCCCTCTCGGCATTGTACATTTGTTTTGAAAAATATGCCAGAAGGTGGGAATAAATTTTGCCCCTTCTCCACAAGTGCTGTGGGCCCTCTTGCATGAGACCCAGTATGATTCTGCTGTGTGTACACGTAGGGACAAAGATCTGGGTCACCTGCAGAAGCCACAGGGGAGGCATACTACTGAAGTGTTGGAGAGGGAACAAGATCTAGTGATTTGATATAGGGAGTTGGAGTCAAGAACACTTGGGTTCTTGATGCTCTATTACGTACATTGGGCAAGTCATTTGGTCTTGCTTCTGATTTTACACCTACTTTACAGCTTTGTAACTCTACTACTGACTTCAGTGAGTTACTCCTGGTATACACTAGAGAAATTGGAATCATGATCAAGTGCTCTGTATCTCTTTCTCCATGTGCAAAATTGGAATGTTAATACTAGAAGTAGGCTTGGAGTCATGTCTGAATACGCCAAACTCAAGGAATGAATCTAAACTTTGTAGCACAGATGTAACTCTAATTAGGACTCACTTCCTTTTATCACGTGGGTGTTGTGGTTGGTATTAATTAATCTTTCCCAGACTTTTTGAGGCTGTAAATTTCTATATACCAGAAGTATTGTACTAGCTAAAATGAACTGTTACCCCAAGGCACCTCCAATCAACATCATTCCTTTTTGAACTGGTTTTATGGAACTGCTGTGAAAACAAGTTGTTTTCTGTGAGTGTCTCAGATGCAAAAAGCAGCAGGATTGGCATCCATACATGCCATGCCAGGGATTGTGGCCTTTTCAATAACTAGGTTACATTGTGTTTGTAGTTTTAGAAGTTAATATATAGAATAAATGATAGACCCTGAAGTACAAAGACCTATAAATACTATACATTGAGAGTTCTAATGACATCAAAATTAGCTACAAGAGCAAAGTTCAAGGTCTTTTTGTTGTCACCAGAACCTCATGATTATAGTCTTGTTCACAGTCTCTTCCTGTTTCATATGTTTAATTTTTTTTATATAATACATGGATCTGGTTAGCAATTTTAGTGAAAAACAGTTTTCTAACAGAGAAATATTGTGTTACAACTAAAATTCTAACTATATTGTCTGTTTTTATAGAGAGCTTAACTAATCGTAATTGGAATCAAGTGTACTTGACTGAATATGACAGTTCTGTCTACAAGGAATTAGTGTCTCAGCACAGTCCCTTTACGTTTAATACTCTCAGAAACAAAAAAATTAGAGAAGGGAAGACCTGCTAAATCCTGTATTCTAGCCCACTTCCAGTGTAGAATGTTTCTTATAGCACATTTTCTAGTGCCCTTTCCTATCTTACTGTCAATGTAAAGAGAGAGCATTTTTATGGGATACATCCCAAGTAGTTGACCAAATTTCAATACAACTGAGTCCAAACCCTTATTCCTGACTTGGCCTAGAACCTGAACCCCAAATTATAGTCTGTGTCTAATCTGGTGCCATCTATGAACACTATCTCTTTGGCCAATTTCTACTGCATTTATGGACATGAGGAGAGTAATTGTTGGTCAGCTATAATGGTCTGAGTTTCAGATCAGTAGCTGAATGACAGGCACATGCCAACACTGCAAACAAACCAAAATTTAGGCATGAAAGCAAATGATCAAGCCCAGCTTCTGCATTGCATATTTGAGATAATGTGGACACACTTAAAAGTTCATCCTGGCTTTAAAGATAGTACTGGTTCTAGTGGTGTATTCTCCATTGAAGTACATGAAACATGGTTGGAATCAGTAATACTTCTAATACTGGAATGAACTTTTTAAATGTGCCCACTGTAAAATCTGTTTTACCCTAACAAATGTAAGAACCACACCCCGTATTTTCCAATCTTGTAAACATCAATTCCATGTTTATTTTAACTTTACACTCTCCTTGTAATACCTGCTGCTTTGTGCCCTGAGTGACTCATGATTTTGAAAGACAGAGGAACCTGCCTAATGCTATATGCACATTTAAAAAAAACAAACCCACATGATTTTAGCAGTCAGATTTATAAAAAACAGCAGCTTGAGTGTAATTATCGCCTCTTGTCCTTTGCCTTCTGTGTTTCAACTTATGTGAGATGGGAGACTCGAAAGAAGAATTGTACTGAGGACCAAAGCTGTGAGTGCCCCTGTCAAAACAGGTTAAGAATTTGAGATGTGAAATGGAACATAAGAGCTACAGTTCAGAGTCTGCCAAAGAATTGCTGTTTTGTCTCTTTCATTAGGCTCAAAACTGCCATTGTGAGTCCTGCAGGTATCCATTCTCTTCCATGATATTGGGAACTGAGACTAGTGGCGATCATGCCTAATGAGACTGGGTGGATTTAGAAGGGAGAGGTGATATCATTTTAACAGAGAAGTGGAAAACCACCAGTTGCATGGGAGCTAGAAGTGTTCCAGTATTTTAAATCTTTCTTCTTCTTCTTATTTATCTTACCGTGGCACCTCGAGGCCCCAACCCAAATCAAGGCCCCATTGTTCAAACATGTAGACCTTGCTCTGAAGAGCTTACAATCAACGGTTTATGCAGTAGGTAAACAGGGATGGGCAGGGAATGTTAATGCTAAATAAAGGATGGCTGGACAGGCTCAGTTGAGTTCTGATATTTAACTATTCATGCTGTATAAACAGGCCTAGTTCAAATGACTTTTTATGGGACAGATCTGTCCCTTCCCTCTATAGGTGTATGTGGCCTAAAAGGCATCAGAATTGGTCAGGCTCTACTGGGAAGGAGAGGCAGAATATGTGGGGACTGTGGAGTGAGTCTGGATTATGCTTTGTAGGAGTCTATCCATGGCACTGCACAAGGGATGTATTTGTGGCATAGCTGCAGTGATATTGGGGTAACACCCATTGATTTCAACAAGTTATGCTGAATTTACACTGGTGTGAGAGGAGATTCAGGTCCAGCATAATTAAAAGCCTGCCTTAGATATGGTACATTTGCTGCTATTTATTACAGTTCAGAAAAGTTGGGAATTATGTTGGTTAATTACAAAAAAAGATAGACAATAGCCCTTTTCACTGGGTGCTAAGGAGGGCTAATATTCAGTCTGTATTACTCAGTGACAACTTAATGGAGCTAAAAAGATTATGCAGCAAGTCCAGCTGTGGATAACTTTTGAGTACTGCACACAGTTATAGGTTTGTGTCTTGCTATCTTATCCATAACTATAATATTTACTAAACACATAGGTGAGATCACTTATCTGTATATGTAAAAGGCAGTTTATAATAGCTATAAGAAATGCACTTCATGGTGATAACTTATTGAGTGAATAGACCACAAGGCCTTCGGCCTTTTGCCTGTATCATGCTACCCAAGGTTTGCTTTAAAGATGGGCCCATACAAGAACCATGCAGCTGATTCCCTTGTGTGAAGAACTGGGAAAGGTGTGTGTGTGGGGGGGTGGCTTTATTTAGGGCCATTGTTTTATCTTTCCTGCCTGATTTCTTGTAACTACCTGTTCGATCTAGTTATCCACTCAGGGAGGGTAATATCCCAGAGGTACACTGAGGGGCACTTCTCTGTGATATTACCCTTCCTGAATGGTTAGCTGGATCAAATGGGTAGTTAAAATAAATCAGGCAGGAAAGGTTAAACAATGGCCTGGATAAGGAACGTTCCTTCAAACAATAGGATCTGCCCTTCTCTGGCTCTGTGGACCCTTTGGAAAAATAATTCATACTTTGGTTTGGGTAAGCTGCTTCTGTGGTCACTGCACACTGTTCCTGTCCACAAGCTCCTGAATGAGAACTCTTGTGGGTGCCAAGGCCATTGGGCCTGCTAAGGAAAGAGGTTGGCAACCAGGAGCAGTGTAACCAGAGACCCAGATGGAGAGTGGTTGGATTGCTAGATCCCACCCCAAAGTGAGGTGGAGTCGGGGCCTGACAGAGTCTACTTGTGAGCCTCAGAAAGGGCAGCCCACCCAAGCATTGTGATATCCTGTCTGAAACAATCACTTGTTTGAGATAAAATGGAACCTAGATGTGCAATAATCCTTGGTTTTTCAAAACGAAATCCACACTGAGGTTTGGTAAACCAAAGCCACCCTCCGTTTTGCCCATCTTTATTTGGAATGGCCAATAAAATGCAATAAGCCAAAATCAGAACCATTTTCGAGCAACTGCTTCACCTTTCCCTAGGCCACAGTGATTTGAATGAAATGAAACCTGAATCCACAACCACCCCAGCTTTGGGTTTGGTTTTGTAAAACCCAAACCCA